CACCTCTTAAGTTAGCAAGTGGTACAGGTCCAGCAGCCAGGGATGGCAGCGTATGACTGAGTCAGGCAGGTAAGGTTACAAACAAAAACAGAAATTGCCAGAGAAACTCAACAGATATGTCAGCATCTGTGGAGACAACAGAGTTGACATTTTGAGTCTGGTGAGTCTGGTGACCCTGCTTCAGAACTTGCACTGGATGCATGCTGAAGAAACCTTGGCCTTTGACTTTATTGAGCTAAAATATTGCCCTTGCTGACTAAGTGAATGAGACAAAAGTCTGCAGTTCAGATTAGATAAGTGACTTGACATTGTGGTGCAGGAAACCATTTGAAGTGGAGAGAGTGAAAAGGAATGTGGCCATGGTGTGGACTGATATAGTCAGGGGAATAGATACTCTTTTTGGCTGTGAGCAAGAGTTCCACTGGTTGTGTTATCTGCATGGTACAATAGATAAGGGCCCCTCTTTGAGGCTGGAGAAGAATTTGGAGCAGGAAAGACAGGATTCAGTTGTTATGGTCCACTGAGGAACTGATCTAGGGAATTAAAAAAAAATGTTGTCATAGAGTCATAGCGCTATACAGCTTGGAACCAGACCCTTCAGTCCAACTTTTCCATGCTGACCAGATATTCTAAATTAACCTAGTCTCATTTGCCAATTTGCCAATTTTCCCTCTAAATCCTTACTATTCATAAACCCATCAGATGCCTTTTAAATGCTGTAATTGTACCAGCCACCACCACCACCACCTTTGGCAGCTCATTCCATACAAGCACTACCCTCTGTGTGAAAATGTTGCCCCTCAAATCCCTTTTAAATCTTTCCCTTCTCACCTTAAACCTATGCACTCTAGTTTTTGGACTCCCCTACTGTGGGGAAAAGACCTTGACTATTCACCCTATCCATGCCCCTCATGATTTTATAAATTTCTGTGAGGTCACCCCCGCAGCTTCTGGTGCTGCAGGGACAATAGTCCAGCCTATTCAGCCTCTCCCTATAGCTCAAACCCTCCGACCCTGGCAACATCCTTGTAAATCTTATCTGAATGCTTTCAAGTTTCACAACATCTTTCCTATAGCAGGGAGACCAGAATTGGATGTGGTATTCCAAAAGTGGCCTAAACAACGTCCTGTACAACCACAACATGATATTGCAACTCCTATACTCAATGCACTGACCAATAAAGTTCTGCTGAGAGAGTGAAAGAATCTAGGTCAACATTAACAATCACAACCTTAAAATGTAATAATATTTGAATTTCTACCCAAATCCAGTATCAATGTGCGTGTGTGCATGTGTGTGAGTGCTGCATGAATCAAAACACCTGGTTCCTACACTGTTCTGAACCATATACTCAACTCTCTGATCTGCTCAGCCTGAAAAATCAGAGTCCTGGTGATCTGTTCTGAAATATGGTTTAAGCAGGAATCCTTATCCGGGCAAAATTGTCACATCATTCTGCCTACCCTCTCTAATTGGTCAAAAAGTATGGAGATAGCCTAATAATTAGTGTGCTCTAGCTGAGAGGAGTTGAGACGTTTCAGCATCAACTGGGATAGTGAGGAACCCAGGAAAACTAGAACTCATGTCTCTCACACTTATCTGGGGGTGAAGGAGCTGAGGGGCTGGAGGAAGACAGCAGATTCATCAACCAAGCAGGCATGGATTAAAGTGGCTGAGGAAGGAAGCAGCAGCATTGTTACCTTAAGCCCTAGTACCAGGAGGGGCCCATCAGGTGAATTATGTAACCTTGTTATGCACCAAACCCCACACTCTGACTTGGACAGCATTCTCTTGAACAGCAAGCCTCACTCATTTTGCTGTCTGCAGGTGACTCCTAATTGCCAATTCAGCTACTGATAATTCCAGATTGAAATTTAAACTCCAATATTTATTCATTCATTCATTCATTCATTTGTGACTTTAACCAATAAGTCCAAAGATGTGTAGGGTAGGTGAATTGGCCATGCTAAATTGCCCATAGGGATGTGTAGATTGGGTGGGTTATAGGGGGATGAGTCTGGGTGGGATGCTCTGAGGTTCGGTGTGGACTTGTTGGGCTGAAAGGCCTGTTTCCACACTGTAGGGATTCTATTCTAAAAACGTCAAAAAGACTGTTGCAGTAATTCAAAAAATTTATGCTCTGAAAGCAGGGCAGTGACTACACAGGTAGATTACATCTCCTGCTTTCCAGTTCAACTGAGGGCACAGGTCAATACTGGCCTCTCCCCAGCATCTCTTGGGTCTTTGCTTCCAATTATACAGCAGAATAACTTCATTTGATGCATGCCGTGGGCACTGAAAGCTGCTGTTTATGAATGCTTTCCAAGCCGCAACCCACAGCATGATCAATTATGTCAGTAACTCTGATTGGCCTAGATGGGGGCAAGGCTCATTGTTAATTGGTTTAAGGGACATGTGGTCTATTCGTTTTGGCTGTAAATGGACATTTATGTAAACTCCCACAATCTCCTAATTGGTTCCTTAAGTTGCCAATTATCGATGGGTCCATCCTCTTCAATATTTCTTGTATGGCTACTTTATGATGTTTTCCTAAGATAAGAGGATACTTTGACATGTTCTTTACCCATTTGTTTCAGAAAGGAGGTATATGCTATCAAGACCCAATGATTGATAATCTTGAGTTCACAATCTCAACTTTCATTTAATTGGTGAAAGTTCTCATTAAATCAGACAATTATCATTTACCATTTGTACTTCCTTAGAGCTATTTGTTACATGTTCTTTTTAATTGCTATGGTTGAATGGTTGGAAAGGATTTCTTATAGCCTTTTTAAAACACAAAAGATACAGCTTAAAAAATTGCTAAGAACCTCAAAGCTATATAAAACTAATACATAAGATCAGAAAGTACTAATCTAAACAAATTGTTATACAAAGCAATAAAAAGTGAAATATACTTACATAGTCAATACATAGTCAAAAGTGGTTGAAGTTGAAAGCATTGTACAGTTATACAGTAAAACATGCATTGTTAAAAAGTTAATTCAAATACTTAGATTAAGTTTTTAGTCAAATATAATTGCCTGTCTTCTTAAAAAAAACTAAAACAAAGCCATTGCAGGCCAGTGTAATCTCTTCCCCAGTAACTCCCTGTCTTTCTGGTTGCTTAATAAGGCATTGATGAGCTGGGAGGACATTAACTCTCTGATTTTGACTTTGATGTTTGTATGTTTTCAACACCGTGAAATGGGGATGGGCTAAACAATGGCCCTGAGGCTTTTGTCCTGTAACCCTAAAAAATTGGTATATTGTCTTCATTCTGTTCACAATCCTGTGATGCATTTCATTGTCAAGTTAGGCTAAGCAGAGTACATAATAGTAAAGTACTAAAATCAAAACTAATTACATTTCAGAATAAAATATTACCTTGATCATTGAATATATTTTGCATGATTATGACTGAACTAAATTCTGAAATGATTATGAATCCGACATGACCAACACTCTAACATGATCCCCAGTGACTTGCACTTTCACACCCTGCTTCCTTGTCACTGTGCACACTTGACCACAGTTACTAAAGCGAGATACACAAAAACTAGGGGTCATCATCTCAAGGTAAGTTAGCCATTTAGGTTTGAGATCAGTTGAAATTTCTTTAATCAGAAGGCTTTGAATCATTAGAATTCTTTACCTCAGAGGACCTCTCAAGACTGAGATTGATAGATTTTTGGAATCTAAGGTTGCCAAAGAATATAGAGATTGGGCAGGAGAGTGGAGTTGAGATTTAGTGTCACCCATTATCTTATTGAATGACAGTGCAGTCTCCTGGAAATGTGCGACCAGCTATCATGCTATTTCTTATGTTTTGATGTTCTTGCAAGTATGAAGGTGGGGATTGTGGATAATATTGCTACAAGCCCTATGTCTTAGTTCTTGGAGTTTCAGTTTTAACCCAGACACAGCTCTTAAATAGCTGTTACAGTCAAAATATATTGAGGTTGGGAAGCATAATCAATCAAAGGATGCCCCTGACCCACTGCACTCACAACAAACTGCACCCCACAACCCATTTGCTACTCTGCGACACCTCACCTCGGAGAAACCACTTTTGGGCTATTGCTGGTCAGCCAAGCAGCCCAATATACAGTTTTCAATGGAACAAGTTGCCTTTGAAGGCATGACTGGCACTAGCAGCTTGTCAAAAATTATTAAAATTAGGTCCACAGTCCGATAAGGAGGCTGCCGTGTCACCTGGGACATATATTATTCATGAAGTACCACTTCTTGTGACAGAAAAGGTTGCTCAGGTGAATTTCTCCCCATGTGTGTGATTCCCTCAAAATGTGAGATAATTAGGAATCCAAATCCATTCAAGTTACTCCCTGACTTGCAATACTTTAAGGCCTGATCAGGAACCAGCTTTAATACTAATTATTCTGAGGAAGGGTCACCGGACCCGAAACGTTAACTCTGATTTCTCTCCACAGATGCTGCCAGACCTGCCGAACTTTTCCAGCAATTTCTGTTTCTCTTTCTGATTTCCAGCATCCGCAGTTCTTTCAGTTTTTATTTAATGTTAATTGTAATGTGATGTGCACACTGATCTTTACTTACTCGATTTCGAAAGTAGGATGTTGTCCTGCTTTTTTTTTTACCAGTTTTTATAAAGCTGGTAAGAATTAATTTTTAACTTGGGCCTGTAATTGTTCGAAGTGCATTTTTCAAAGTATCATACAGAGGAATTGAAAGTTATTGAATCTCATAGCAGGACGTATAAATATAATATAATGTTCAAGATTAATGTGAAGTGTAATTACTGCCTTGTTAAGTTTAATCGTGAAATTTCCCCCATTATAAGAGAAATGGTCTGCATTTTCTCAATTAAAAACAATTACTGAGTTATTGAATCCGCAAAGTTAAAGCACTTTAAGTGGAAATGTAGATAAGTATTTTTACAAGTCATACTATTTACATATAATTTCTGGTCTTATGATGTAAAATCATTTTACAGATTTCCTTCTGTGGTTTTTTGCAGGCGCTGTTGATGTGTGGAGCACAGTTCTTGCACAGGAACCAGTACATCATTATCAGCACAGCCAGGAGATACAGGCTGTAGAAATAGCATCAGACAATGCTGTAATTGCAACTTGCTCAGGTTATCAAGTAAGATTAGAAGCCTGTGATGAGAAAGGATATTGGAGGACAGCTCAGCAGTTCGAACTCCAAAAACTGGTGGGTTTTTGTTTCCATTGCATATGTGTATTTCATTTACCAGTCACTGCTTAAAGCAGTTTATGAACTCATTCATTATCACAGATTCACAAAGTTTGTCTCTCACTGGTGTCCCTTGGATGCCTTAGCATCTTTCATGTGTTGAAGAATCCAACACAGGAACAAAGATTAACCAAACAAACATAGTTTGGAAAAGAGATCAATATTAATAAAGCACTGTAACTACATTCAAAGAATTATTTATGTTCAAAGATCTCAAAAATCTTCAATTAATTATTTTGCGAATGCATTGACTACTTTTATGAGCAAAGATCATTTTAGCCAATCATAGACAGTGTACAAATTGCTCTATCTTGGACAATTTATTCCCATCCATTCAATAGGAAACCATTTAGATGTGAATCTTCAAGAAGGTAACGCTAAAATATCTCCCTAACATTTCAGATGGAGTCACACAAAAATTCAAAATATAAATATAGATTTACCTCTCCGGCTTCCTGCGTTCCACAATAATTCTTCCAATAACACTGGAATCATTGCCATCATTTTAAGTTCTACTCCAATCACTTTTTGAAACAAATATGTGTCTAGTTTGGTGTTTTTTCAACAATATAATTGACAAACATCAACTGCTTTTGCTGGGAGTTCCTAATATTATATTCTTGCTATGCCCAAGTTAACGTAGCGTTTTGTTGCTAAAGCAAAGATCTAAATTTATTTAAGGATGTTAAGTCAACACTTGGTCTGTTAAGAGACTGCAGGTTAAGATTCTGGTTCTTTTCTGTTGCTCAGATATCTTTTATTGCTAGAGACTTTGTACATTCCAAGTTACCGCCTCTTTTTTTCAAGCGAGACATTTACATGTGTTAGAATGACTTGGAAATTATGCTTGCACTTGTGCAGATAGCACTGCTAGTAACCTTATTGAAGAAGTGTTGTATTAGTGGAGAGTAGATGGTAGAGAGAGAAGACTGATGCCAATTAGAAATGTGATTGGAAAATGTAGAAAAAAAAATGTTCAATGATTGTTTATGGACTGGAGGAAGGTCTTCGGGTCAAAAGTAGGACGACTATTTCTTGATCTATATTAATGACCGTGACTGTGACCATGCAGGACATAACTTCAAAATTTAAGAATGCGCGAAGTGTGGAAGAATTATGACCTGAAGAGTACAGTGTAGTAACAGAAAAAGTATCCAACAAATCCAAGTCAGAAGGAGAAGGAAAAAGAAGCTCCTAGAAAGAACAAAAAAACCCTTGGGAAAGACTCAAGAAGAGCTGTCTGGGAAGGTGGGGTGGTATTTTGCATCCTGCCTGTATTTATGCTCCATTTGAACCTTGTGCTATCCTTATTCATCTAAATCTGTCATGCCATCACTTTTTTTGCCCTTCTTTCTCGTATGTTTGTCTAGCTTCCCCTTAAATGAACATCAGATTTGGGAGCAGTAGGCAGTTCAGCCCCTCAAACCTACTCCACCATTTAATATGATGATGGTTGATCTCATCTTGGCCTCAACTCCCTTTTCCTGCCCACTCTCCATAATGCTTAAACCCATTACTAATTAAAAATTAATGACGGGTTGGGAGATTAAACTTAAATGAGGGGTGGGCTGATATTGGCTGGGACTTTTTCATGAGTGGAAGACCGCTCCAACCAAATGTTGATCATCCACTGACAATAGGCTAGGGGCTCCAGTGGCCTTGTAGATTCTGGGTTATATTCATTCACTAAACAGTGTTGAAACTCTCTTCCGGAGACAATTTCTTCTGAGAAAGGAGAGAGGAGACGTAATGCATAGCAGAAGACCCTAATGCTGTAATCATTGAAGTACCAAGCATGTACATAAATTTATTGTATACTATATCACTGAACCATGAATGATTTTTTTATATGAGGTTGGCTGTACATTGTTTCAAATTAGTTGCATGTATGCAAGAACTGGAAGAAAAGCTTTTCAGTATCGGAAGGTATGAGAAGCAAAATAATCCAGCAGGTGGCCAGGAAATTGTACTTTATACTTTGTTTGCTTGTGTATCAGAATTGACTCCCATAGGAAACCATTTTGATTGATATTTGTTCAGTTGTCAAGTTAGATTATTGCAAGATCAAAATACAAGTAGATATGTATTGAGAAACAGCACTATACTCGCCATTTGCCTGCTTTAAAGATACTGAGTTCCAAAATGGGGCAAACGTGAGCTCTATAAAGGGTTATATTGTCATGTAATGCCTAAAGACACAAGCACTTTCAACTTTATCTTTGATTTGATACAGTTTATATATTGAACCAAGCATTGTGCTGTTTATTTCTTGTTGTGCTTTTCTGCTTCTGTGTAATTTTAGTTGCAAAGTTAGTTTTTAGCACAAATGCTGTCAACAGTGTAATATCTACCAATTTGCAGCATAGCCAGATGAATGTATAAACATTCTACAATCTATGTAATTTCTGCTGCATGTCATTGTAATTACAGTTAATTGATTTCCTACATTACAGCAGCGCTGGTACTTTGAGTACTTCCTTAGCTGTGAAGTGCCATGGGACATCCTGTGAATTTGGAAGGCACAGTGTAAATGCCAGTTTCCTTTCTTTCATGGCATACATTACAATTAACTTGTTTTAAGATTGCACAATTTATTGCAAAGGAAAACACCTGCTTTTGAAGTGCCATTTTGTTCAAGCATTGAGTACCACAGTTGAAAAAATCTGAACACTTTAAAGTATTTTTCTGTACTCCCCCTCTTCAGTTGTTAATTTATCTTTTTCAAGTTGGCCAAGACAGCAACCTAGTTAAAACCAAGGCACAATGAAAGCAGATATTATCAGTTCTTTGACTTAAGTTATTGAGCAAAGTCAGCATTAAATGTATGTTGAGAAAGGAGAAGCACAATACTTCATTTTGTGTATTTTATATAAAACATATGCAACACATTCATTAATGTGAGCCCTGAAAGAAGTTCTTAAAAAGAATAAAACTCCAGTCGTGAAATTTTTCATTTAATTATAGAAGTCTCTCATACATTTCTCTAATTACCAGGAATATCACAGGTGTTAGTTATTCCTCGAATGATTTAACTATGGTCACTCATTTAATCCTGCTGAGTTGCCATGACATCATTTTCTTGCCAAGAATTATTTTGGTTTCATTACCTAATGAGAAGAATATAAAGCTGGCTTTGTGCCAGTCTGGGTCTGTATTAACACAGTTCATTGATTTAGTATTAAAAAAAGTGTTTAGATAAAACAAATAAGAAATATTCACTGCATTTGGAAAGGACCAAAAGTGATACAGCAAAGCCTTAATTATCCACATAACCAAGATTACCTCAGAAAGCAGGGTAACTGCCAGATTATCAATACTCCCTAAATTATACTCCCTAAATTGTACTGTGAATTTTGAATGTGTTGCAGCCTGTTTCAGTCCTCTGTTGCTGAACTCCCATTTTTTTGCTCTGTTTCTGCTGGCAGGGTTCGCTTGCACCAAATAGCTGATCTGCCAGCTCTGAACTCTCCCATCAACCCGTTCATGATTGCAGCTGCAGGACCAGTCATGAGCCCAAATGAGCAGGCCAAAGTCAATATCATTATTACGTACAATACAGTCTGCACTTGGTGGCATTGGAAGCTTTTTGAACAGACATTCTCGATATTGAATGTTTAAGTTGACAGCTCTGAGTTCAATGGAAATTGTCAATAGGATAGCTGGAAGTGACTACATGTATCCTTTAGTGCCCATCTCTGTAAGCTGGTGGAAATGTCATCTATGCTTGAACAATAATTTTAGGTCAACTTTCTTGTGTGTGTTGAAGTGGATGTGTGATTTTTTTTGAGCTGACAGATAAACTATTCTGAGTCAACACAGTGTGGAGCTGGAGGAACACAGCAGGTCAGACAGCATCAGAGGAACAGGAAAGTCGATGTTTTGGGCCGGGACCCTTCATCAGAACTATTCTCATGCCAGCTGATGTTAGTGGTAGAAGAGTTGAATGGAGTAGAAATTAAACCACCTCCTACCAGTCCTTCATTATTCCATTATCCTTGCATAGTTGAGAGCTTGAATGATAGAGGTTAGGTAGTTTGAGTGAAGGTTTAATTCAGTTTCCAGAAGGCAAAGCCACACATGGCAACCATGTTTAGTTGACAATTTGATTATTGTTTTTTGTTTGTTTTCTGATTCAAAGTATGTAATCCATAAAACTGCTAGAAACTATTTTTATCTCATTATTTTATAGGCTAGCTATCTTCAACTTGTTCCAGGTGCTCCTCTAAATACAGATGGAAGTCAGCCAGTAATAGCAGCAGCTGAAGATACTGTTTACTTACTGAACCCTGATGCAGAGCCAAAGGTACTTCACTCCATCTATGGAAATACAGTGACCTGCCTGGATGTATCCACTAATCAGCTTGCCTGTGGTGTTAAAAGTTTTGGTTGGATAATTAGCCACGGCAACAAGGTATTTTCTTTTCCTGATTCTACAATAGATAGTAATAACATTTAAGAAAGGTGACAATATTTACTATATTTAAAAATATGATGAAAGTAATATTTAGAACATTGAATATTATACATGATAAACTGGATTCCACTTTATGCTTCTACCCAGTTCCAAATTTATGTTCCAACTTATGTCTAGAATTATTTTAAGCTTTTTTGTTTGATTTAGAAGACAATATTTTTTAGTATCTGCACCCTTAAGTGCTATTCCTGGGTGATGTGCAATTCTCATTTTGCTCCTTTGAAATCCTATTCAACTTATTTTATAGCTTTCAGTACAAAAGTAAGCAATTCCTTTTGTAGTTTCAAGATTGACCAGTGTTTACTCGCCCCAAATAAGTTACTTCATGAAATCAAACATAGAATTTAAACAGAAAACAAAGGTTTGCTTGTATTTATATCCTTCTACAAAAATAGTGTATCTTTTTTACATTTAGTATGTAATTAACATAACATATATTGTGACACAAAACTAGGACTAATTTCAAAACTATTTGCCACTCAGGAAATCTCAGTTAATTCTGTGGCAATAATCTAATTTGTCTTAATATTCATTCAAGGTTCTTGGACATGTTGCCACTGCCAACAAAATTATTTTTAAAAAACCTTTCAAGTACGGAGCAAATATCTAGGTACTATTGTGAAGTTGGGTAGAGTACTTGAGGATTGGGAGGCAAGAAGTTAGAATTCGGTGTTTGTAAAAAGCTGGGGGTGGGGGGTGGGGGCTGGGGCATTGTGTGGTCCCTTTAAAAGATGACATGCTTTTTCTATGCTCTAGAGATTTAAATGGATGTTTGTGAGCAGCAGATTGAAAGTTTGCAGGTACACAGAGAGTACCTGATTTGAAACATTTGTATCAAAAGGCCGTATAGTTAGCAGGCCAAGCGGCAGTTTTGTTTTGTTACCAAGACAGCAAGTTGTTGAATTTAGCCAATCAATTTGAACCGGGCACTTAGATACCAAAAACCAATTAAATTTAAATCTAATGGTTTTGACCAAGTAGAACAATCATATTGTAAGAAATTGATATGTCAGCAAGAGTAGAAAAGGAGAGAGCCGTTGGAAAAAGATGGGAGAACTAACTGCCATCTGCCAAAGTTAATGGCTCTCAGCTGTCAAAAGAGAATCACTGGCTCTCACAGTCTTCTCTAAGTCTTAGTGAAAGCTCCATCTAAATATCAAAGGTACCAACAGCACAACTAGTTAATATTCTTGACAGAAGAATCAACAGAAAAGGCATTCCTGACCGAACATTTGACGAAGAAGGAACAGAGCGTTCCGGAAGAGACACAACCTGGCTGCAATTTCGAGAGACTAAGTTCTATTCTTTTTTTATTTTGTTATATATAACTGGGACTTGTATTTATTGGAACAGCATACTATTAGAATCCTGTTTTATTCGGGAATAGTAGTTAGAAGGGATTTATTCGATTTGTTAATGGTTTAGTTAATTTGTTCATTGTTAGAGTTAGATAAATAAATTGTTACTTGTTGTTTGCAAAATAGTGTCAGGGATTTATTTTATTTAACCACGAGAAGTTGCTGAAAGGCAGGTTACACCATTTTTCACACTCCTTTTACAGATTATAGGGTGAGGTGCTCCTCTTTGGGTGTTTCGGTTTTGTTTCTCAGAGGGAGGGGTCAACCTCCACTTCATAACAGTACTGTACTCTTAAATATTTACAGTACCAAAAACCTATGGAGTTGGAAATCTACATTAGTTCCATAACACTATTTTACAATAAATGCTTCATTCCTATAATTTCTAATCTTAATAACGAGACAAAAAATTTCCAGGTAATATTTCAGACTAGGACATTAAAGGAAAAGGGGAGGAAAGAAAAAACTCACCAGCACTTGAATTTTTCTAACCTCCCAATTGTTCTTTCATTATGAAACATTTTTATATTATTCCATGATCATGCAGAATTGGAGCAAGCATGATATCCTGTGATTTTAAAGTAGGTTCTATCAATTGGTTGCGCTTTGACTTTGTATTGGACCTGGCTTAAGTGAGTACACAAACACTGTCCAAGCAGGCACTCAGCTCCGGCAATAGATGTAAGTCGTTAGCTTAATGATTGCATTGATTCTTTGGTTAACACCCAAGTTTTTGAAAACTATGTGTATATTAGTTAAGAAATTGCATGTAATAGCTACTCATCAGAATGCTTCATGAATAATGGATAATTATTGTCTGAAAATTAACACTGTGACATTTTTAGTTAATTCAATTTAGTCATATTTCCATGTCCTGGGCATTGATTCAAAATTGTATGGTGCAAAAGAATGCAGAAACAGATGACTTTAGATTCTAGTGGTTGTTGTTATTTTCATTTCAAGAAGTCGATAGTTGTATGCTGTTCTGAATTTAATAATTTTGATTAGGATGTGAATTTATTTCTTATAATAAATTAAATTCCAGTTTTAGCCTGAGCTAGATAGTTTGACAAGATGATTTCCTGGGGGGTTTTAAGTAGTCTGGTGCACTATGAACTAAAACAATACTAAATGCTGAGAACACTCAGCAGATCTGGCAGCATCTGTGCAGAAAAACAAGTTACTAATTAAATGTTAATTATTTCTGTCTCCGTAAATGCCACTGGATCTGCTGGGTATATTTCTATTTCTCTTTCAGATACACAACACACAAAATGTTTGCTTTTGATCACATGTACAGTGAATTCTCTCTGTACAAAGAGGGTATAGAAGGGTAATTGTTAGTGCTGGAACTTATGAACCCATTCACTCCATTCATAAATTTATAAAGATAAAAGATCCAGATACATATGAATTTGTTCAAAACTGTGTTGTGACTTTAACACACAGTAAGAGTGCTGGGAAAAATGTTAATTGTAACAGTGCTCATTTTGTATATTCTGCATTTCAAAATGTCACATTTTCTTCACCAACTGACAAATCTTGAAAGCATGTTCCATGCTTGAATAGCCCATGCTTAAATATAATTAATCCTGTAACTAAACTAAATTTACTTTATTGTGGGGAGGAGATGGCCTAGAGGTATTATCTTTGGATTATTAATCCAGAGACCCAGGTAATGTTCTGGGGACTCTGGTTCGAATCCTGCCATGGCAGATGGTGGAATTAACAATCTAATGATGGCCACGACTCCATTGTCAATTATCGAAAAAACCCATCTGGTTCACTAATCTCCTTCAGGGAAGGAACTGCCATCCTTACCTGGTCTGGCCTACATGTGACTTCAGACCCACAGCAATGTGGTTAACTCTTAACTACCCTCTGGGCAATTAGGGATGGGTGGTAAATGCTGCCTGGGCGGTAAATGCTGCCCGGCCAGCAACGCTCTCATCCCGTGAATGAATAAAGAAAAAAAAATTCTTATCTATTGCATAAACAATACTGAATGGCACGCAGTTGGTTCCTGAATTTATCATGTTTATGGACCTGCTGAACTCACTAATGGGTTACACAAATCATTTTTTAAATCATTATGGATATTTTGCAATGATGAGATAGCAATCTAAATGAAACAAATGTCAAAAATATCAAAATAAACTTTCATCAATTAACTAAGTGTCACCTGACTCGAAGTTAGCAATTCACGGTTGAGATTAGGTATCTGTAATTGTTCCTGATAAATCTTTTTGGTTTCGGGGTTATGTTATAAGGAGGGTAATTATCTTAGTCACTTTTAGTTACCACAATTAGGCTACCACTTAATACATGTTGCTATTTGCACGAGGAGATTAATGAATGCGACGTCACTGCAGATTGATAATGAAATTACTTCCAGCTGAGTGCAGATACCTAATATACATTGTAAAACTTCCCTTTATTTTCTCTACTATATTCATCTCTGGAGGTTTTGACCCTTCTAAATGGGTAACGCTAAACAAAATCAGCAAGCGATTTGGACTATGAGGAGATGTCCATTCTACTGAGAAGAACTAATGTTATTGCTGTTATTACCCCCAAGCTAATGAAATTTTTACATGTCACTTCTAGAACATAGGAGTAGGCCATTCGGCTCCTCGAGTCTGCTAGGTCATTCGATATCATGGTCGATCATCTACCTCATTATTTTCCTCTGCTATCCCTTGATGTCATTCATGTCTGAAAATTTATTAACTTCCATCTGGAACATAATCTAATACTGAGCTAACACAGCCCTCTGGAGTAAAGAATTCCATAGAGTCAGTATCCTCTGAGTGAAGAAATTTTCCTTATCGCAGTACTAAATGACTGACCCCTTATTTTGAAACTATGCCTGGTTCTAGATCCCTTGCCAACTAGTAGAAACCCCTTTCCTGTATCTAGCATTTCAAGCCCTTGAAGAAGTTTGTAAATTTCAATGAGATTGCCTCTTGTTTCTCCTCACTTGAGAGAGTACAAGCTCAGCCGCCTCATTCACTCCTCACAGGATGATCCTACAATCCCAAGAAGTAGTCTGATGAACCTCCTCAGCAGCCTTCCTATGGAAGGTATATCCTTCCTTAGGTAATGGGCCAGAATTGCACACAATACTCCAGTTGTGGTCTCACCAAGGTTCATTACAATTGAAGTAAGATATTAGTACTCCCATAGTCAAATTCTCTTGTGATCAAAGCCAATGTACAATTTGCCTTTCTAATTACTTGCTGCACTTGAACATTAGCTTTCAGTGGCTTATAAACAAGGATACCCAAATCCCTTTAGACATTTTCTGATCTCTTGCATTTAAGAGAAGCTCTATATCTCTGTTCCTCCTACCAAATTGCATACCTTCACACTTATCCATGTTACATTCTATCTGTCATGTTATTGCCCATTCACTCAGTGTACCTAAATCCTCTTGATATCTCACAACACCCATTCACATCAAGCTTAATGGCATCTGCAAACTTTGAAATATTAAATTTGCTTCCCATATCTAATAATTAATACTGATTATGAAGAGATAGGGCCTAAGCACTGACCCTTGCACTACCCATATGCGAATCTGAAAATGATCCACTTGTTCCTACTACCTGTTTTCTTTCTGTTAATTGATCCTCAATCTATACCAGTAAATTACTCCTTCCCTCATGTACGCTAGCTATGTTTTTTAACCTCCAGCATTTGCCTTATCAAATGCATTCTGAAAATCCAAATACCACATCATGCTGTAAAATCCTCAAAAATCTCTAACAGGTTTCTCAAACATGATTCATAAATCAATGTTGACGCTGCACAAACAGATCAGTATTGATCTAACTGAAGGCAGGTCCTTGGCTGATTATTTGCTGAGGCTTCATCTTTAACTGTTTTTTTGATAGTTTTTGTCAGTGGTGATTTGCATAGTCCTCCACTCTCGGGAGCAGAGACTGAAAGCAGATCCAGGTCTAATTCAGCTGGAATAGGAATCTGACACGTACACCGCTGGCATTATTCTGAACCACAGGCTAACCATCTACTTAACAGATCTAACCACTTTCTCTTGAGTCTACACATCACTACAAAAGAAATCTACAATACTATACAATGGAGTCATACAGCACGGAAGCAGACCCTTCGGTCCAACCAGTCCATGCCGAACATAATCTAAACTAAACTAGTCCCAACTGCATGCTCTTGACCCATATCACTGTAAACCTTTCCTATTCATGTATCCATCCAAATGTCTTTTAAATGTTGTAATAGTACCCGCATCCACTACTTCCTCAGGAAATACATTCCACATGCAAATCACCGTCTGTGTAAGAAATTTGCCTCTTTTATGTCTTTTTAAAATCTCTCTCCTCTCACGCTAAAAATGTGCCCCTAGTCTTGAAATTCCCCATCTTGGGGCAAAGACAACTACCATTAACTCTATCTATACCTCTCATTATTTTATAAACTTCTGTCAGGTCACCTCTTAACCTCCCATGCTCCAGTGAGAAAAGTCCCAGCCTATCCAGCCTTTCTTTATAACTCAAACCTTCCATTCCGTCTACAGCTTGTTAATATCCTTCCTGTAACTGGGCGACCAGAACTGGACACAGTATTCTAGAAGAGGCCTCGCCAATATCCTGTACAACCTCAACATAACTTCCCAACTCCTATATTCAAAGGACTGAGCAATGAAGGCAAGTGTGCCAAATGTCTTTTTAACCATCCTGTCTATATGTGATACACACTTTAAAGAATAATGTACCTACACCCCTAGGTCTCTCTGCTCTACGGCACTACCCATTAGTTGGCCCTGCCATTAATTGTACAGGCCCTACCCTTGTTTGTTGTACGAAAATGCAATACCTTGCGTTTATCCAGATTGAACTACATCTGCCATTTTTCTGCCCTTTGACCCATTTGATCAAGATCCCTTTGTAATCTTAGAAAACCTTCTTCACGATCTACAATGCCACCAATTTTGGTGTCATCCGCAAACTTTACTAACCATGCCTTCTATATTTTCATCCACATTATTTATATAAATGTCAAAAGAGGACCCAGAACTGATCCCTGTGGAACACTGCTGGTCACAAGTCTCCAGTTAGAAAAGCAACCCTCCACCATTACTCTCTGTCTCCTGCCATTATGCCAATTAGCATTCTCACCCTGAATTCCATGTGACCTAACTTTACTAATTAGTCCACCATGTGAAACTTTGTCAAAGGCTTTACTAAAATCCAAATAAACAACATCTACTGTTCTGCCCTCATCAACCTTTTAGGTAACTTCCTCAAAAAACTCATTCAAGTTTGTGAGATACAATTTTACTCGCACAAAACTGTACTGACTATCCTAATCAATTTTTGCCTCTTTAAATGTCCATAAATCCTATCTTTTATAATCACCTCCAACAATTTACCCACAACCAAAGTCAGACTCACAGGCCTGTTGTTCCCTGGTTTCTCCTTACAACCTTCCTTAAACAAAAGGTACAACATTAGCCACCCTCCAGTCATCAGGCACCTCACTCATAGTTATAGATGATGCAAATATTTCTGCAAGTGGTCTCGTAATTTCCTCCCTTACTTCCCACAACATTCTGGGATACATTAGATCAGGTCCCGGAGATTTATCCACCTTTATATTCTCTAAGACCTCCTGAACTTCCTCTTCTATATTGTGAACTGCTTTTAAAACATCAAAGTTTATTTCTCTGCATTCGCTAGACTCCATTTCTTTCTCCACAGTAAAAACTGATGCGAAATATTCATTTAATATCTCTCCTTTCTCCTGGGGTTCAACACAAAGATGACCTCCTTGATCTTTAAGAGGCCCTACCTTCTCTTTAGTTACACTCTTGCTTTTAATGTATCCGTGGAATCTCTTTGGATTACCCTTAACCGCCAATGCTATCTCATATCCCCTCTTTGCCTTCCTGATTTTTCTCTTAAGAAAGCTCCTAGCCTCTTTATATTGATTTAGAGATTCAATTGAACCAAGTTGTCTATATCTAAAATAAGATTCTCTTTTGTTCTTGATTAGTACCTCAATATCTTTATTCATCTATTGTCCCTTAATCTTACCAGCCTCACCCTTCACTCTGACAGGAACAAAATGCCTCTGAACCCCGGTCATCACACACTTGAACGCCTCCCACTTGTCAGATGTCTTTTTACCAGTGAACAGTCTACTCCAATCAACTTTTGAAAGGTCTTGTCTCATACCAATAAAATTTGCCTTACTCCAATTAAAAACTTTAATTTTTATGGAAGGCTTATCTTTTTCCATAACCATTTTGAAACTAACAGAATTATGATCGCTGGACCCAAAGTGTTCCCCAACTTTGACTTCAGTCACCTGCCCTGCCTTATTGCCCAGAAGAAGGTCCAGTTTTGCTCTTTCTCTAGTAGGAGCATCCACATATTGATAAAAAAATTTTCTTCACAGAACTTTCTTTGGAAGAAATTTGCTTTGAAAAAGTTAGGAGAAAATTTCTGCTTCTGTTTTAATTGTAATGGAAGATATTCAAATATGTAAATATTTCAGACAGTTTCAACTTATTGCACTTTGCTATTGTAGTGAATATATTTACCAAATGTTATTTAATCTCTCGGTGTGAATACAGTTTTCACTGCCTATCTACTCTTGTAAGCAATGAGCTGAACAGTCCCTGTCTGCATTGTATGAATCTGTTCTATAGTTAACAGAAAGGTTGACTTCTTGGCAAGTGGCTCAATCAAATTTCATGAGTGGTTGGAAGTAATTCTGCAGTTTGCTTGTGTTTATCACCTGTCAGAATTTTAATTGCATTTACTGATAAGTTTAATAAACAGTAGGACACGATAAAAAGATATTGTCAAGTTGGGTATGACTTTCACTATACACAATTGTATCAGATTAAACTCTTACATTTTTGATTTAGAAATAAGCTGTCACAACTGTCAAGAGACATGTGTCAAGGAACGTCATATTAGATAAATTGTCTTTTCTTTTTTGTCATCTTCAACACCTGGTTTTGACAGTTGTGATGGTTTATTCCAAAACACATCAAAGCCATTTAATCTTGCATGACTACAAAGAGTTTTTATTTAATGAAAATCACCTGTAGGGCACAGAATCTTTCACAGGTTGCTGATAGATTTTGGATGTAAGCAAGTGCAATAACATTTTATTCAAGGTGAAAAGTGCCATTAGTTGGGTGTAAGAAACATTTCTTCTACTTTGGCCATTTGTTATCATTTAGCAACTTTGACATTTAAAAACAGCCTATAGAAAGTTTCCATTCAGCCATAACAATGTTTGCTGTGCTTGAGAAGTGTGCATTAGCTATGGACATGTTAGGGAAATTGTGTTGTGAGTACTCTGTGTGAGGAATTGGATTAAAGGTACATAATCATTTGGATTCCCCTTTGGAGGTAGGATGCTTCCATTCTAACAGGAATAAGCTGGATTCAAACCCAGATGCTAATTGTGAAAATGGTCAAAAAGGCTTTGGTGTAGAAAGTTTCTGGCTTACATTTTTGATTTTTAAAATGTATGTATAAATGTTAGCAGAATGATGCACAAAAATCCCTTCCTGCCTGTTTTTCAATTTCTACTCAACAAAATTCAGCATCCCTACATCAACTTCTATCCCTTAATGATGCTAACTTTTTTTGATGATGGTGCTGTTTCCTGCAATTTAACTGTGTAGCCTATTAGACCTTACTTCCAATTTCCACCCTTCTCTTGTCTTCACATGCTCTGTCTGACTTTACCCTTACCTCTTGACTTCACTGTTTCCATTTCTGGAAATGTTAACTAATGCTGACTCCTGTATCTAGCTTAACTGCACTTCCTCTAAGGTTATCCCCATTGTATTTGTTAGGACAAGGCAACCTCCTGCACTAACGCTCCAAGTATGTTCAGGATTTTTCATTCCTCCCACTACCAGGTTGATAATGGCACAAAATAGTGTACATTCCATTTCATGTGCCCCTGTTTTATTCCTTCTCCACTTCCAAGTGCCATGATAGGGTTCATCTTGACCTCACCTTCCACCCACATCAGCCTCCAAATTAAAGAAGGACCATCCTCAATTATTTATGACATCTCTGGCATGATGGTACAGAAGACATCTTCCTCTCCCTTCTCTTGCAATATTCAAACAGAGTAACTCTCAGGGCCCAATCTTCAGACACACTAAACAGCTTGTCCCTTTGTTATGGCATCTTTTCATCCAGTTGCAGTAAATGTAACATCCGACCTTTAACCTTCTGTCTTCTTTCAGTCCAATGTCTTGTTCCCTGTCCTCGGTGTTCCACTATCCAGATAAACCTTTTAGCCATTACACCTCTGTGCAGTATTGTTATAGGCCAAAGCCTTCCAAACAATTACCTTGTGTTCTTTTGTCCCTAAATTCCTTCATTGTCATGTAATCTTTTCCTCCGTAAAATGCTGTGAGTTGTTTTTTAAATGATGGGTTTCAACAATGGAGGGTCAGGAACGCATATCTAACCTGCTCAATGGTAGTGAGTTGACATTTCCAACATTATACTGAGGCTGTATCGTTTATTATTTATATTTGAATTTAGCATTAACTAGCCTAGTCTTTTTTTTAAACTTCAGGAAACCTAGTCCCTAAAGCTAGGTAAGGAATTGCTGGATCAGGAAGTGCTTTTCCACTTAGCTGTTGAATCAAGTGTGCCTGCTTGGAAAACCACCCACGATTGAACACCCATCTCCTGAGTCCATCCATTCTTCATCAACTCCCTGCCCAAACCCACCAAGGAGGTACCCAACCTCCACCCACTTCTTTCCATTTCCCTGTTGCCCACAAGCCTGTTTTATTTTGCTCCCGAACCTCCTTAGGGCCATGAACCCTTCTGGGTTTGTCACCTTCTCTGGAATTACTCTGTACTGGATTATGGAAGACAAGCTTGACAATCAAGCTCCCTTCTAGCTGGAAAAATCGTTCATCCACAGTGTGTGGGAGAGTCCAACTTCCAGTTTGCGTTTGCCTGTGCTGTGCTAGTTCTCCTATGCTGGGCGTGTCATGTTAAAATTTCCCTAAATATGCATGATTATTGAGTAGCAACAACTTAGAAGAAGTTGTTTATTAATTTACAAATATGAAGCCTTTGTAGGACCACCAAAGTATTGCAAACAATTCTTTTTGAAATTAAACACAAATCTGATTTTAAATGTACTTTTCCTGCAAATGGCCATCAAAGACCAATTTGAATAAAACATTACCTTTGCCAGTAGACTTCCTGGTTTTAAAATCTATCACCAAGATATATCACCAGCTTTTCTCACCTTGTCACATATGCCAAGTATTTGGTACCAATGGATTTAAATGGAGAAGGAAGATCTAAGAGCATATTTGAGTACAAATAGGCATGGCATGGATCCTATATATTTGGCTTGTGTTATTGCCTCCTTTGGGCCCATTCATTAATGGAAAATTGATGTCGTCATTGAACTGTTTAACTGAGAATGTTATTGAAATTTTAATTGGAAACGAAATACTACAAAGGAATACGGTTAAAATACAATAAAACAGTTTCTTTCAGTTTTTTAAAGGAAAATCAATAACTTAATTAACTGTAAATGTATTTG